TGCCGACAGATGCTCAGAATTATAAAGGTGAGATTGGCAAAAAAAATATTTAGGGTTACAGAGAGAGAGAGGAAAGGAGAAGAATGTTGGTCTGGGTATTACCCAATTTTCATCCATTACAAAATGGCTCTATTTGGTTTGACCTGTTTTTTGTTGGGTATAAAGTTGGATCTGATGAAGCATATTTCTCACGTGCCACTATCCATACAAATTAAATAATGTTCCGTCAATTGTCCTTAATTGGCCAAAATTCAAGATATTGGAGGATAAAATGTGCTCTTGGTGAAACTTTGGGGACGAAATTGGTCAGGAACCCAAACTTTGAGGATGAAAAGTGCATTTTTCCTCTACAACAACTACTATATTATCCACGGTTTGCTTGCTTAGGATGAAGCTACATTAGGCTACTCTAGTCAACTATCTCATTAGAGGCCTAATTGTAGCCACTAAAATTTTTGTGACCACTTTGTATATGACATTGCACAAAGAAATTGGCCTAAATTGTGCTACTCTTTCTAGTCCTTCCATTTTCAGAATGAGGGAAATAACTATAGTCTTCATATCTGGTGGGATCCTCTTTTAACAAACGAAGTCTAATACGAATGCCGTTGTATCGTTGCCCATAAATCCCCAATATTTTTGTAGAGGAGTATCTGTATTCCATCCAGCCCTGGAGCTTTATTTTCTTTCATATCAAACACTACCTTTTTTACTTCTACTAACCTCACATGTCTAAATAGACTTTGAAATTTTATGTTGTCTACCTTCAAATCCTTGGTTTCTCTAGAATAAGAAAGATAATTATGAATAAAAAAGAGGTCATCCCTTCTTATTTTCTAGAGATTAATATCTTTAAAGGACTTGGAGAGGAAGAAAAAATTAACTCTTCCTCATAATTACCTTTTGGTTAGTTGAGTAGTATTGAGTGGTAAAGACAAAGAAGTAGGATGGGTTCTTAAGTGTAGACTAGATTTGATCCATTAATTAAAAAGGCTTTGGGATCATGCTAGTTTTGATTAAGTACTCAATGGTGAATTATCGGGATGGAGTATGGATCTATCATAGTATGTTGAGCAGTGTAGTGGAGTAAGTGCTAGAAAATTTCCTAAAACTCACCATTATTATTTTTTCATTTTTCTTAAAATTAGAAAACTAAAACTTGGTGTCCAAAACATAAAATAAAAAGGTGAAATTTTGTAATTTAAGATTATCAACTCACCCTTTCTTTTCTAAGAAAATCAAAATGACAAAATTTTGGTGTCTATATCTTAACCCTCTTTACGCCCTCTTTATCGAAAATGTGAAGCAATTCTAGACAAAGATTTAATATTTTAAAAAAGAGTTGACTGAGTTCGTCTAAGAACCGCCCATGTGTCCCACTTGGAGAATTAGGTCAAATATAGTTCCAAAAAAATATTTTTTTTTGGGGTTTTCTAGAGGAGAGAGTGTCGCCACGCATTGGAGAACTAGCCCACCACTTCACATGTCCCTAACTATTACATCGAAATGAAAAGGAAATTACAAAAGGTTGCAAGAAAGAAAACCTATAATATGTTTCCAGCTATGAACTCATGCTCACGAAGGCTAAATATTGGCATGTCTTAGACTCACAAAGGCTGTCTCTTGTATTGATGAAATGCTGATACTAGATTGGTAGACTTGTGCTCATGAAGTTGAAAAAGGTAAAAGTAAAATGCTGAATTTGTGCTTATGAAACCCATAACTATAATTTGATAGACTTGTAATCATGAAGTCTGAATGACTAAATTGCTGGATGTGTATTCATGAAACCTAAAAATAGATGCTAGATTTGTGCTTCAAAACCTGTAACTAAAAAATAGCAGCTTGTGCCTAAAACGACTGTCGAAAAAACTGAACTGGTAGACTAGTGCTTACGAGGCTTGAATAACTGAATTGGTGGACTTATTCTCACAAAACCCAAAAAGTAATTGCCAAATTTTTACTCATGAAATTCATAACTAAAATTTGACAGACTAGTCTTCTCAAAACTTGAATTACTAAATTGATGAACTTGTGCTCACGAAACCTAAAAGGTAAATACTAGATTTGTGTTCATGAAATCCATAACTAAAATTTGACAGACTTATACTCATCAAACCAGAATATTGACTTGGTGGACTTGTACTCACGAAACACATTTAACAATGAAATGAAATTGCATTAAAATTGAAAAATCATATTTTAACTCTACAAAATGTAAAATCATATAGGAGGATAACTTTGATTATAAGCTTGCATCTTTGAAGAAAATAGGGGCTTGCCCTAGATTGGAATTCAAGATCTCACTACTCAATTATTTCTTTTGTCAAGTTAAATAGGACTTAAGGTTGTAACATGGTCAAGTTTGAGAGTGATGAAGGTTCACAAAAATTATTGCATAGTTTTAAAAATCCTGTGATCACTTACAATAAGAAACTCTAATATGCAAACAATAGACTTTTTCTAAAAAAATTCGAAAAATAAATAATGCAAAAGACTCAAGAACTTGAAATTTTCTCTTGGCTTTTTCTCCTCTTTCTTTTTTTTTATTTTTCTTCTCTTTTTTTACTTTCTTCTTTTTTTGGTCTTCCTTTTTCTTTGTTTCTTTTTCTTTGATACTCAAAGCATAAAATTTTCCACAATTTAACATTAAAAGGACCTAAATATGAAATCTAAGAAAATAAAAATAAACTTGATAGATAACCTTCATTGATTTTAAATTTAAACAGTTAATTCTTGAACAATACGACTCCCAAAAAACTCGCTTAAAATCTTGGGCTACTTGTTCTAATATAGATTGCATTTAAATGTTACCACAGTGTGAAGTGTAATCAACGGGATGGACTTAGCAAACAAAATTCTTTTCAAAGGTTCAAGAGAGTTTACAAAGGAAAATTATTTTTGGATGGTAGAAACGATATCCTACTCATATTCCCATCATTCATCAGAAATAATTGAATTGTTAGAGCTCTTGTTCAAATCTTGTACAATATTGAATGTCGCATTTGATGCATTCATGAGATCAAACATGTGAATTTTACTTTCCTTTCAAATCAAAGCAAGATTGTCCAATATAAAATGACTATTTATTTCAAAAATAGGAAACATGAACTATTGGAAAAAAGGAAATTAAAAATTCTCCTAGAAGGCTAAGATTAGGAAGAATGCTCTCATAGACCATCATCACTTTTCTCCTCTAGTAGCACCTTAGGCACGATTAGAAAGCGGGTTGTTGTTAACATTGGGTTGCTTAGCTAGCTCTTTTAATCACGGTCTACTTGGCATCTATCATGTATTAGATCATATGTTTCAAATGAATGCACCTTTCAGTAGAATGCCTAACTATACCAGTGATAAGCACAGGTTCCATTTGATTTGAAATATTTGGGATCCTAGTACTAAAGGGGTTCCACAACACTTATCCTTTATTGAGCAAACAAAGCCTCAAAGAATTGTGTGTGTGACATAAAAAGAGGTGTGAAATTTCTAAGAGGTTTATTGGGAACCTACTATTGGGTGAGATAAAACTGTTGAGAGTAAAAACCTTAAGGTTGGAAGTCAAAATAAGCTTGAAGGTTGTTGACATAATAAGGTAGTGGTGGTGTGCCATATGGTTGTATGTAGGATGGATATGAATTTTGTGGAGGTGGAAATGACATGTTGAGGTAGGATATGCAAATTGTTGATGGTTAGGAGAGCATGGAATGCAATTTGTGGAGTAAAGTGACCAGCAACCATATTACTTTCATTTTCTTTCTTCAATTAGAATATTGGCCCTTTACCACTAAAAGAGAAAAAATTTACATTCTCGGGGATTTCAGCAATATGTCCAAAATGTATTCCCGTTACAATTAATGAACCGGCACAAATCATTTCAGAAAATGGATGACCGTGTATGGTTAACAATTGTTTATAACATGATTCCTACTTAACATGAATGAAAAGTTTCACCATCTTAGATTCTTTGATAGGAGGTTGTATTTGTGCTACTATATCTCTCCATCTTTGGACATAATCCTTAAATGACTCACTTGGCTTCTTAAATATATACAACTATCCAAGTCTATTTGATGAAATGGTTAGCAATATCATTCCAAGTATGATAGTTACTAGATTCAACTTCATTTACCATTATAAAGCAGTACCAGATAAACATTTTTGAAACAATTGCATCCCTAGCATAACTTCCTATTTCATTAGCATAGATTTTCAAATGCAACAAAGGATTGCCAACTCCATTATACTTGGTGAACTCAAGTATATTAAATTTGTCAGAATATTTCAAATTTGGGAATAGAAGCAAATCAGAGAAATGAGTGCATGGGTATGAATTTAGTCATTGTAGGGATCGAAAAGAATCCTTCAATGATTGCACCTTCAAACTTAATGCTTTAGCCTCCTCAGATTGGACTAAAGTAGGTTCACTAACCACCACATTCTCAGTGAAAACTAGGGGGATAGAGATAGTGTTAAGAACAAAGGGATTGTGATTGTTCAGAATTGGGATTTGACCAATTGAAAAGGTAGGATTAGGGTTTGAACTCTAGTCATTGAGATTCAAGTCTTTGTGAGGTAGGAGAAGGATAGAAGTAATTAGGGTAAACATTGGAAGGACTTTCATATCACTAAAGTTTTGGTCAAGAAGGCTCTGGATTATTGGATAGAGTAGGTAATTTGTGGATTAACTTGAAGGTAAAGATTCATCATATTCATAAAATATTCCATTTTTGCAGTCATGTTTTTCCGCCTTTTGTTACATTAAAGCAAATTTATCCCTAGAAACAAGCTCATGGGCATTTGAAGGAGTGGGAGGAAAGTTTGAGTTGTTCTGTTCAGTAGGCATGACTTATTTTGCTATTGATCGACTAAGGATAGGATCACGAGGTGGGAGAATTGGCGTATGACGAGTTATTTTTGAAAATTCGTTCAAATTTAAAATAAGATATATGAAAAGTGTGACGCCCCCACTTCTCCCTAAGGCGAACCAAAGGGTATCCGCGGGACGCCTGCCTAACTCTCGTCAGGACTCAAGCAATTCCATTCAACTTATATCCGGACCACACAATACAAATCGATAACTTAGATACAATAATTGCGGAAGTGTTCAAACTTAATAACAGTTATCCATTTTTCAAACCACCCGTCAGCATACATAATACATTTCGTCCAAAGCCAAAGGCATAAACAAAAGTAATAGCAACTCTAAAACAAAAGCACATCAAGAGGGTTGCTCCATTTTACCTCTGAACTCAACCTGTTAAGGAAAACAAATCTACAGGGTGAGCAAAACGCTCGTGAGGCCAAGAACACACATGCAAACACATAGTTCAGATAACAATCCTAAATAACAATTCAGGTATTAGCTTGCAAGTAATTAATAACACCAATAAACTGTAACCAGAAACAATTCAAGGATATAGAAGCTCTCAGGAGCTAAATTCCACATTTGCCGATACCATTTATATATCTTTCCGTGATGACTCTCCGTCAACCGGATTGATATTTTCATATCCGTAGTTCACCACTTACTTCCCATCCGTCCACCATACACCACTTCGGGCCCGCACGACATTTATAAGGCGATACTTTACGAGTATGCCAAGCGAGATCTCTCAATAGATCAAGCTTATCATTTGAATCTCATGGTTCACCGAGGTTCCCGACCAAACCCATGTCGGCTCGAGTTCCAAGGTCGGCCTATGAGTTTGGGCGTCCCCCATGTGTCATGTAAATGTCGAGGAGATTCACTCCATCGACGTATGCAATCATAGCATACCATTTCATGTATTCAAGCATTTGATAGGTTTAAGCAGGCATTTCAAGTGATGTAAACCAAGCAAATCATGTTAAGCATGAGTCATTCGTTTCAAATGAGAACGAGTGCGATCAAGTACACACTCGACTCCATTTTGTCAAAATCAGTTAAGCTAAGCATGAAATCAGGTGAATCAAGCATGAATCAAGACTTTAGAGTTCAAGTAGGCATACACTTGACACTCACCAAGTTATGCAAGCTAGTAGGTTGGAGGGAGAGTTCAAACTTCCACAGTAGGGTCCTCTTGGAGGTCCTCGTGCGTGCCTGAACATCGTATATTAGATAATTACTATAGGTCCCCAAGTGGTGAGAAAGATTGAACACGAGTAAGGTTCGAAAATAATTGAAAACTTCGTTTGACTTGCCTTTGAAGTTGAATTCTCAAAAGGGTGTAAAACTTAAGTACAAAAATTGGATTATTATCCTTAAAATCATTGGTTGGAAACAAGTACGAGCGAAAAGATTGCAAAACGAACGATCGAAATCGAAGGAAGGTTGGCCACGTCACAATCCGGCCGGATTGGAGGCAGTGGCTAACCCCCTTTTTTCAATTTTGGCCACCAATCCGGCCGACAATCCGGCCAGAAACTGGCCGGATTCTGGAAAATTGTTCCTTCGCGGATTTTCTTTGAAATTTCAGAATTTTTGATTTTTGGTCAAATCTTTGAAAAATCATAACTTCTTTTCTACTGATCAAAACTTGATGAATTTGGTACCGTTGTAATCGTCTTTGAAAGTACTAAAAGTTCTTAGAAGACACCGTTCCATGAATCTAAGTGGAAGGCATTCAAAAATGAGGCTAAAGTTGCTGTTCTAGATTGCTAGGATTGAGCCGGGTTGGTTTTTCGCTAACTCTGGAAATTCGGCAAAAATCATTCGTTGGAAACCGGCCCTTGAAACTTATAACTCACTTAGAACTGCAAGTAAAGTTTTGGATGGAACAAGCGGCTCAAGAATCGGAGTTTCGAGTACCAAGATACGGTTGCTCGAAGTTGGGGAAAATTCAAGATTGTTACAAAATTTCCAGATTTGGTTCCAACTTTGGACCTTTAGTTAAGTGCCTAAACGGACTTGGATTGACACCAAATTTTGCAGTATAATACTTCCATATGAAGGTTATCTCTCTATCAAATTTCATGGAAAAATACCCTCGGAAGGGTGGTCATTCAATCAACCAAAATTTGGAAAAATCCTTAAGGCAATCTGTCCAAAGCTAAGGTTTTCAAAAATGAGGCAGTCGCCGTATTTTGATCATAACTCTCTCAATTTAACTCGGAATTGGAAATGGTTGATAGTGTTAGAAAATACATTCACAGGGCTACAACTTTACAGAAGAAATAGTTTCAAGTTTCAGCACGAAACTGGTTCAAAATCAAGCCTCAAGTTGCAGCATCATCAAATCATTTCGGCAGAACGGAGAAACAGGACAGCCGACTTCAGATGAATGGTGTGGCTCACACACATGAAACCAGAATGTGCACTATACACCGTTAGAAACATGGGAATGTCTAGTTTCAAATGCCACTAACGGCACTTGATTTTGACGTCGGAGTACGGAGTTATGGACGAAACACGAACACTGGTCTGGTTACGACGGCAACCGTTTTCCCAGATTACTAGCTTTGGAAATAAATTCGTTTGACCCATCAAAACTCAATATTTTTCAATGAAATTTTGTACACAACTACTACAACATATATACAACATAATCAAGCCATTAAATCCTCAAATTTCTGCATTTAAGTGACCGAACAGAGCAGGGGTAAAATGGGAACTTTTTGTTTCAAGAGTTCAATAACGTTTCTGGTAATAAAGCACCTTTAATCTACTTCCTTAAGCTCTAATTCAGCAAATAAACCATCATCAAACATCATCACAGCCATCAACCCAAAGTGGGAGTTCATAGAGCCCACATTTCCAACAATACAAGCTATTAAAGTAAAGATTCCAACTCAAATGCGTAAATCAACTTCCATAAGACAAGTTGAAGGTGTTAGATTGCTACCTACTTTGATGGCTGGTTTGGACAGATTTTTCGGTCCTTTGAAGCTTGAAGAAACCGTGAAAGCTCCTCCCTTTTTCAGCCTATGTTGTTGTCCAAGTGAAAAGCTAAATGAATGTGAAGTTTGGTGAGAATCTATGGAAGTTTTGGTAGGAATTTGGTTGAGTTTTGGAAGAGAAGAAATGGTGAAGCTTCGGTTGTTCCTTTGCTGCAGTCTAGCCGTCCATTGCAGCAGAGGAAAGGAAATGAATTGCGGTTCCGAAGCCTTTGCGTATAAGAGACGCTTGACGTCAAAAATCTTTTAATACGTCAAATCAATTATAACTAGTACCCTACACTCGCGTTTTGTGTTCGATTTCTCTTACGTTTGTTGCACTAGTGCACTAAACCTCTAGGGCACTTACATTTGTATAAATATTATTCATTCCTAGTTGTCTCAAAATAATGGTCCAAAGTCTCCCAATTAAGCGCGCACGTGAAAACACGTATTTCTAATTTAGGCGCAATAAAATTGAAACCTTTGAAAAATTCTTATAACGATTGTACCACTAGTTATTACTTGTGTGTTTAAACCTAAAATTGTCTATTTTAGGACCATTGTATATGTCTTAAATTTTTAGCTTATTGCACTCCCAATTGGCTAAAGTTGAAATACGTTTTCACTTTTTCACTAATTAAGTTTTTATGAAAATATTTGTTTATTCATCTATATTTTTATTTTATTTTTTTTTAAATGAGACACTTTAGAAATATAACGAACTATAAAATCATGTACTTAGATCTAATAGGCTAGAAAATATTATTCGTGGCAAAAATCCAAATAAATAATTAATTGAGCCAAAATTAGGGATTTTAAAATAATAGAAATTTCGAGTCTTCACAAAAAGTCATAGAATTAGAGAATAAAATAATATGCCAATAAACACAATGCATGTGAAAGAAGAAGAAAAATAACTCAAGTAAATAAACATTCAGCAAAAACAGATGCGTGTCCTATAGGGGGTATCCTTTAAAGCCAAGGACAAGGCTAGTATGCATGATTATATCCTTGTGGGTAGGGTACTATACTGTATTTGTTAACCCTTCTTGATTATAATCCTCAATTAGCTCATTTAAATACACCACTTGCCTAACTAGGCTATAAGCCTTTAGTACCACATTTTGACCATTTGAACTAATTACTATCTTGAAATTCACTTGGTTTGATCTTTCTTGAATTTTAATGCTCATGTGCCATGGTGATTACCAATCATCTAATATGACGCCCCCACTTCTCCCTAAGATGGACCAAAGGGTATCCGCGGGGCACCTGCCCAACTCTTGCCAGGATTCAAGCAATTTCCGTTCAAGCTTATTGCAGTACTAGACGTCACGACTAGATAAAATAAATGCAATTAGTGCGGAAGCGTTTAAACTTAACAATGCTTAACAATTGCCCAATTCTTACATCGGGTTTCCAAAATACAGCCCAAAAATCAAAATATACAATAACCATAATGTCTAGTCAATATCGCTGAAATCCTATTACAAAAGTGCCACAAAAGTAGTTCTCCCAAGTTTCAATCCATGTCCAATCCTGTTAAGGAAAATAAATTTACAGGGTGAGCAAAAACGCTCGTGAGGCCAAGAACACACATGCAAGCACATAATCCAAATAACAAGCCCAACTAACAGGTCAAATAATAAAGTGCGGGTAATTTACAATTTCAATACAATATAAACAGAAACAATTAAAGGATATGGTAGCTCTCAGGAGTTAAGTTCCACTTGCTTTGCCAATGCCATTCGTATACCTTCCCGCGATTACACTCCGTCACTCGGGTCAGTATTTCAAATCCATAGATCACCACTTCTATCCGTCCACCGTGCTCCGCACCGGGCTTGCATGACATTTATAAGGCGATACTCAACGAGTATGCCAAACAAGATCTCTCCAATAGATTAAACTTATCATGTGATTCTCATGGCTCATCGAGATTCCCGACCAAACCCATGCCGGCTCGAGTCCCAAAGTTGGCCTATGAGTTTGGGCGTCCCCCATGTACATTTAGGTGTCGAGGAGGTTCACTCCAGCGACGTATGCAACCATAGCATACTATTTCATGTAATTCAAGCATTTGATACATTCAAGCATTTGAACTTTCGAGCATTTGACATATTCAAACATTTCAAGCATGAGTGATTCATTTCAAATGAGAACGAGTGCGATAAGTATACACTCGACTCCATTTTCAAAATCTCAAGTCATCGATAGTAAACAAGCATGTATAAAGATCACAGGAGTTCAAGTAGTCACACACTTGACACTCATCAAGTAAACAAGGAAGAAATGTCACTTGAAGTTCAGACATTCACCGTGGAATCATCTTGAAAGTCCTCGTGGGTGCCTGAATAATTGATAATAAACTATCATTTATAAGTCTCCATTATCATGGAAGATCGTACACATGTACAACCTAGAAATATCGTGAAGACGAGCCCTAATTCTTCTTGTAAATCGAGGGTTTAAAGTAGGGTCCAGGAACACAAGAAAATCCAATTTTTATCCTTAAAATCATTGGACGGAAGTAGGTAGGTATGAAATCATGAAAATCATTTTTCAAATAAATGACTGAAGTCTGACGAAAATGTGACACGTCACAATTCAGCCAAGAACTGGCCGGATGTCCGGCCGGATTCAAGGCAGGGAGCAACCGAACCTTTTTTTTCGAATTTAGGAGCATTTTTGGAAAAATCATAACTCATTTTCTGAAAGTCCAAAATTGGAAAATTTGGTACCGTTGGAAACTACTTCTAAAGTACTAAAAGTTTCTAGAAAACACTTTTCCTTAATTCCAAATGGAAGACATTCAAAATTTAGTTCAAAATGGATGTTCTAGAATATCAAGGCAGATTTGGGTTGTTTTTCAGCAAAGTTTGGAAACTCGGCAAAATTCACTCAATGTGAAATAGCCTCTCAAATTTGAAACTCAATTAAAATTGTAATCAAAGTTTAAAAAAAACAAGTGGAACAAGAATCGGAGTTTTGAGCACCAAAATATAGTAGCTCAAAGTTACTAAAATTTCCTTGTTAAACAAGGGTTTTCCAAACTCAAATCATGAATTTTGGAAGTTTAGTTGAGCAGCGAAACGGACTCAGAACGGCACCAAATTTGATATGATTATACTACCATATAAGATATATTCCTCTACCAAAGTTCATGGATAAATAAGTACGGGAAGTTGGTTAACCAAATCACCAAAGTTTCTAAAATTTCAAGGCAAATCTGCCTTGTGTATAAAATGTCCTTTTCTAAACTTTTGGCCACATGAAATCCTTGCAAACATGGTACATTTTGGTAGAAAATGTTTATTAAACATCCAAGATATGTTTAATGGGTGATTAACACCAAGAATTTTCAAATAACAAGTTCCAAACCATGATATAAGCATTTACTAGCCCAAAAGAGGGTTTCAACCCCTTGAGTCAGTTTCGAAATACGGCCACAACTCAGTCAATTCAACTTGGAATTGAGCGTGGTTAGTGGCGTTGAAAACTAGATTCATAAGACTACAATTTCTTAGAAGAAATTATTTTCAAAATTGGTCCATAACTAGCTCACATTTGAGCATCAATTCACTATTCAAAACAGAGCTCCCATTGTAGACGTGAAACAGGATAGTCATGTTTAAACAATTGGTATGGACTACTCATGTGGAATCAAAACGTGCATTCTATACCATTGGAAATCTGGGAATGTTTAGTTTCCATTTCCACAAACGGTACTAGATTTCGACATCGGAGTAAAAAGTTATGGCCGTTTGAAAAACACTCCCAGGGCAGTGACGGGAAAATTTCCAGATTTGCTGAACTTCCGAAATCACAACGTTTGGCCAACCAAATCACGTTATTTTTTTATGAAACTTTTTACACAACCCACACAACATATATACATCATAAATAAGCTATTAGAACCACAAAAAATCACCCTAAGGGTCACGGACAATATAGGGGCAGAATTGGAAAACTTTCACCTTCACTCCCCTTTGAGTTTCTACCAACAATACAATATTATTCCACTAATTTAAGCACTAAACCAACATTAATAGCATCATATTTCATCAAATCATTCCATCCAACCAAAGTGGGAGTTCATAGAGCCCACACAATAATTTTTTCAATATAAACAAGCTACCCACATGCATGCATGAGTTTATATGTGCACTACTACTTCCATAAAGCAAGATTTGAAGAGTTGATCGTGTTTTACCTTCTTAGATGAACTAAGACAGAATTTTCAGTCCAACAAAGCCCAAGAAAACCATGGAAAGCAGCCCTCTTTCTTAGCTTGATGTAATCTCCAAGTGATTAGCTAAGTGTGGTTGAAATTTGAGTTGAAATGGGTAATGATTTTGTGAAGAAATGGAGAAGGAAAATTGAAGAGCTCCTTAGTGTTTTTCCTCCTTGGTTGGCCGGCTGAATGAGAGGGAAGAGAGAGAGTGTGTTTGATCAAATGAATCTTCCAAGAGAAGCTTTAATGTGTGGTCCAAAATTGTCCAAAAGTCAACTCTCTCCCCGCGCGCGTACGCCCGCATTTTGTGCTCAATTCTGCTCGAATTTGTTTCACTAGTGTACTAAACCTCTAATACACTTGTATTCATATTAATATTATTCACTCTTAACTGCCCCAAAATAAGGGTCTGAAGTTCCTCAATTAATCGCTCGCATAAAAACGTGTACTTCCGATTTAAGCGCGATAGAGTGAAATCTTCAAGAAATTCTTATTACGATAGTATAACTAACTATCATTTGAATACTTAAACATAAAAATACCTATTTAAGACTAATATACAAGTCTCCAATTTTCCAATCTCATTATATCCTCAAATCGATTATTGTCTCCAAACGCTTATTCACTAATCACACTTAACGAGCTTCCAAAAATTAAATTTTGAAACAAGTCACTTTAAAAATATAACGAAGCTATAGACCCATGTAATTAGGTCTAATTAGGTTAGAAAATAATATTCGGAACAAACGGGCCATTAAATATTTAAATAAACTCGAAATGGAATTTAAAATAATAAATTTTTTTTTTTTGTGAATCCTCACATTTAAGATAGTCAAAATATAATCAAGAAAGGTTCTTAACATAACCTTGTGAATTTTCGATCAATTGACTTCTCATCAAGTCATCACTTTAACTTGTACCCTACCCCTTTGGATATTTGAAATAATTTTAACATGCATTGTGTTTTCTAGGTTAGATGCTGACGAATGCGGGGTATACATAT